ACAGGGAATGATTGTCCAGCAGCAGAGGTGACAGGGAGGGGACAGGGCAAAGCCACAACAAGCACTGAGAAACGTTGGGAGAGGAGGAGGGCACGGCATGCCACGGATCCATGCTAAGAGAAGCCCATGCTGCCTGCCCGGCCCAGGGAATGGCCTCAACCAGCAGTCCCCAAGACACGAGGAGATAATTTGGCCAGTGTGCACGTCTAGAAAAAGGAAGGGTTTATGGCACAGAGAGACTCGTACTGGAGAGACTGCAAAGCACAGAGAGCAGAGTGTGTCTGGTGGGGAACGGGCTGGGAAATCAGCACAGGGAGCACACAGACACASAGCTCTGGGGGGGCTTTGCTTCCAGCATCCCTGCTCTGAGCTGGGCTTAAAGCAAGCCCTGCCAGGTGTTTGGAGTGGTGCTGAGACTGAAAATACCAAGCCAGGGTGCACCTGGCTGTGCCATGGATTGATCTGTGTGTCAGGGGCAGAGATGCCATGGGCAGAGCCCCCCTGAGAGCACTGAGCTGCCCAGAGCTACCCAGAGCTGCCCCCCTGAGCCAGGCAYTGCTGCTTCAAACTCTGATTTTAGGACTGGTTTTCTGCACAATGTGGAATCAGAAAGTTCCAGTTCTGAAGAAGGAAAGTTCATTCCTGTGCTGGCTGCCACAGCTGCTGCAGCACACCTGAGCAAATCCAAAAGGGCTCCAGGACCAGACCTGAAGTGTCTCCAGCGCTCTCTGGGACAGAATTTTCTGCCTTCTTGCATAAAGGTGAGAGTAAGTTCATGTGTGGCTCCCTGGACTGTGCTGAGGAGTCAAGGAGGGTGAAAATTCCATCCTCAGGCACAGCCAGGTGAGCTGCAGAACTGCCTGACACGGACACAGGTGAGCATTTGGGATCAGCATTCCTCGAGGGGACACCCCAACACATGAAATATCAGCTCAGAGGCAGCTCTGTGCCTCCAGCACTCCAAATCCAGCAAAACCTTGTGCTTTGAAACCTTCCCTGTGCCAACTCAGCCTCATTTAATGCCCTCAAGTCGTTTCCTGTCCCTCAGGTTTGTGTTTTTCAGAGCAGAAGCAGCCGAGCAGGGTCAGGTGTCACCAGCAGGCAGGGACAGCAGTCAGAGCTGACTGGGAAAGTGTCACAGCACCACAGCAGCTCAGGGACATCAAAGCCACRTCCCTTTCTTCCCCCAAAGGTCTTGAGGGAGCCAGGAAGGATTTAGGATCGGTTTGTATGAGTTCACAGCAAAGTTTKCTGACTGAAGGGTGCCTGAAGTGCAGAGCACCCAAAAAGCAGCGTTATCCTGTTAATCCACAGCTTTCTCCTCTCCTTCCCACTGCAAGGGCTTTTAATGTTCCTTTCTAGCTTTTATTTTCTCTCTGGAACGTGCAGTCCCAGCAGCACTCATATCTTGGGCATCTCACCCCCTGGAATAAACTGGTTTTTGGTCCTTCACAGACTTYACAGGCAGGTGCTGCATTGGAAAACCTCTGGAATCTGCTCCAGGAATGCCTGGTTGCACAGCAGTTTATCCAGGACTCAAATCCACCCGTCCCAGATGCCAGAGCTGCCCCAAATAAGCACTAGAAGGTGTGGATTTATCAGAGGTGAGGTTGTACCGAGCCAAGATCAGTGAGAATGTCACAAACTGGTGGATCAGAGCCTTCTGCTCCCTCTTCTCCCTCCTCCCTAAAGGAAGCATCTTCGTCCTTGGCAGGATAATTAGGCTACAAGCTGCTGGCTTTTTATTAAAAAAAAATAAAATAAAAAAAAAAAAATCCCCATTTTTTAATTGTTCAGACCCTGCAAATCAAACCCCAGCAGATGAGCAGGTGGAGGGGAAATGCAGCTGCTGTGGAAAGAATCCCTTGGGATTTCTGGCACAGGCACAAGCAAAACCCTGACGTGGCTGTGAGTGCTGAGGGAAGCACCACCCTCTGTGACATTTTTCAGATTTCTCAGCCTCTCATTCCTAGAAATGTGACTGATCCCTCCAGGAAATGTAATCCAGCACTGCTTCTGGCCCCAAAAGGAATCTACCTCCCAGCTGGGACTGCTCAGGGGCAGCTGATCCTATCCCAGCTCTCCAGAGAGGTGAAAATGCTCCGAGGTTTTGTTCAATCCTCACCATCAGTGCCTTTGAGACCTTGCTCTTCACCTTTTTATTACCACTGTGAGAGATTGGAGCCAATAAAAGATTGTGAATCCCATCCAACTCGGAGCCAGACTGGCTGCCAAGTGGGAAAATGAAATAACTAAGGGGGAAAAAAAAAATCCTTAAAGCCTCCAAGAGAAACAACACTCAGCASCAGGTTCTGCTTGGTGCCCACCACCCTTGTGCTCTCAGTGAAGGATTTAACTTTGCTGAGTGCCAGGGGAGGTGCCAAAAAGGTTAAAAATCCACTTCAAGGTGCAGGTAGGACAAATTTTAGCATATTAATCTAACAGTTTGGGCAGTTCTGTCCCTGAGGCCCAGCCTGAGGGAGCTGCTCCAGTGGGAACATCCTGAGCCTGCAGCTGGAAATCTGCACAGGGGAAGGGTCCAGGAAAGGTTCCTGCCTCCCTGACAAAGGGAATGGTGAKCAGCAGCATTTATCTGCCACCCTCTGTGATTTTTCTGTGAAGAAAACCCTCCCAAGCCATGGGGAGGAGACCCCTGGAACATTCCAGATTCTGCCAACGGCTCCTTCTCCTCTCCTGGTGAATCCCAGGGCTTCTTCTGTATCATCCTGATTCATGCTTGAAATTAAATTCTAGAGAAGTGAAAAATTCCAGCAGCAGGGGAATTTTGTGTGTTTAGCAATTGTGGGAGGGACTGTGGGGGGAAAGGGGACTTTGGGACAGCCTGGCAAGTCACAGAGGGGAGGATGAGCCACAGAATGCCCTCCCCAGGCCCTAGCACCTGAATTTCATTGTACAGCAGCCATTCCAGCAGCTTCCCTGAGGAAAAGGCAGGGAGCAGTACAGTAGTCAGCAGCATTAAATTAAATAAATAGTCATAAATACACGTTACTCCCTGGTTTTCCCCAGCTGGACTCTGCTTTCACAGTCTGAAATGTCTTTTTTTGGTRACCTGGCTTCATGCAGGCTCCTTCCAAGGTGAGTCTTGTGTGGGGTATATGTTTATGGTCATGGGGACTGCAGGCAGCTTGGGAGAAAGCAGCAGGATATTCCTGCATCCATTTCCATCCCCTAACTGGAAAGGGGGAGCTGGAGAGGGTTTTCCTTGGATTCCACTGAGGATATTCCTGGTGGAGATGATGTGAGACCAGTTATTCACCATGGAGGCAACAGAGCAGCTACAACTGCACCATTTCCAGACTGGGAAGGTGCAGCTGCCTCGCTCCTGCCAGCCAGAAGGTGGAAAAATCCATTTCCAGACTGGGAAGGTGGAAAAATCCAGGTGAGGGCTGCAGCTATCCCCTGATCTGCCTGGATCAGGCAGCCTGGAGCCCAAGCAGTCCCTGTGGGGTTTGTGCATTGCACAGCACAGCCCCCCTGCTCCTCTTCCTCACCTGGCTGCTCCCAAAGCCTGGAATTACCCCCAGGAATACCTGGAAATGCACATTGGCTGGTTTTCAGTGCAGCTCCACCACCCGGACCAATCTTCACCACCTCACACCCAGCTCTGTCCTGCCACCCCCTGATGGTCCCTTTCTCCTTTCCTCTCTTGGTCCCTGTGACCCTTCCTGACCCCTCCTGGATTTTTGGAAGCTTTGTTTCTCYCCAGATGCAGTGCTGTAAATGTGATGTCCATTTACCCCAGGYAAGGACAGGAAGCTGCTGCTTTTCACCGTTTCCCCACCGATTTTACAAGACAAGGGGCTGGGTGAACGAACAGGAGAGAGATTTGCCGAGCTGGGGAGTGGGAGGGGTTGCAAACCAACACTAATTCAGGTTTTTTATCGAGATCTGGGTCCTCCCACTGTGGTGGTTTCAGCACTGATCCCTGCAGAGCAGAGGGGGCTCAGTGGCAGGGGGCAAACACACAGAAAGCAGAGAGCACAGCCAAAGGGGACACTGTCACTGTCACAGGAACATTGTCACAGCCTGGAGGCACACAYTCCCCTTCTCACACTCCCCTGGCTCTCCCTGCAGTATCAGCAATGACAGGAGCAGCAAATTGGTGTTTTGGGAAGGGCTGGCAGCTCRGTCACACTCAGAGCCTGCCAGGGGATCTGCCCTCCACAGACCCACAGCAATTTTTGGGTGAYCACASATCCTYCTCCTCCTCCTCCAAAGTTTTGCAAGGGGTTGAGTGTGATTGCCAGAACTCAGTGCCCTGAAGGCAGCCAGGTGAGGGAGGTGACAGTGTCTCCTTTTTTGAGCTAACAGAACCAGGGAGCTCCATGCGCGGGGAGGGGACGGGGCAGGGTGCAGGGGGGCACTCACGCTGATGCTTCCCTTTGAAACAACACAAACCAAACGGACAGACGGACAGACAGGCAGGAATATTACACAGGAGCAGTGCACGGGCCCAGGGAGCAGAGCTGGGCACGGCYCTCAGCAAATCTCAGTGCTGGGAGAGCACAGCCCTCCCTCACACGCACACCCCACGCTCCCAGAGACGCTCCAGTCCAGCCAGTGTTGGAGCTCGCTCCTTCCCCCTCTTTTAGGCTTTTTTTTGTTTTTTGTTTTCCTCTTAAAATCTGTATATAATATATATATTTATATCTGTATATATATATATATATATATATATATATTTATATATATATTTATATATCCTATTTACACGTATTGCACACCGTCCTCTGGCCTCCTGCATTCCTGCCTGTCAATGGAAACGTTTCCGTTTCTCCTCCGGATCTGACCCGAAGTCCCGGGACCCGATGCCATTCTGGAGATTTATGAGTGAATCCTTCATCTGCAAGACACGAGAGATTTCCCCACTGTGGAGGAGAAAACTTTTGGGATTTCCTTTTTCCCTGTAAAAATTCCATAATTGCGGTTTTGGGAGTCAGGGCTGGAATGTACAAATGGGCATGTTCTCCAAATAAAGGGGTGAGCAGAGCACAGGGAATTCTCTCCTTTTAGGGGAGAGCAGCTCTCATTTAGGGACTGATAAGGAAGCAGCTCTCATTTCTGAGCTCTGTTTTCAGCAGCCCCGTGTGTGTTTTAGGGGGCACACACCGAAATTCCCGGCTTTGTGCTGTGGGAGTGCTCCCTTCCTCCATGAAAGCTGCATGGAAATCCAAGGTTCAGGTCAAACCAGTTTGTTTTGCAAACTGGGATGTCAGAGATTGGATACAAAATGTGCCAAAACAAGCTTTTAGCCCTTAAAGTGATGCCTGATGATTCTTGCTCTTCCCTTTTATGCTTTCTGTACCCTCTGTGCATCCGCCTGCACTCCTTAGCCCACATGTTTGTAATTCCTGTAGCTGATATTCCAGCTCAGTTTAGGAGTTCTGCTGGGCAGAGAGACCAAACATCCTCAGGAAGGGCTCAGTGTCCCCTGTGCTATCTTAAACCCGAGCTCAGCCTTGGGTGAAGCCTTCTGTCCAGAACATTCTGTGTAAACTGAGCTCTGACCTCATCCAGGGGGGATTCATTTGAATAGGGGGACATCACTGCATTTGTGAAGTTTCTTATTGGAAAATCCTAGATAGAAATGCTAATTCCTGAAATCTATAAAACTTGTATCCGTGCTGTACATGGGTGTGCATTCTGCCATCAAGTTGTGCACCTGAAATCCCAAATACCGAGGTAAAACCCTTTTTATCCCCTTAACCGTGTCTGTGTCATTATTAAAAACTGGCCTTTCAAGGCAACAAAAGGATTCTCCCCTTGAATGCAGGGAGCTCTGATATCCTGTGCCAGCCCTGGGGATGTGACACCCACCACCACCAGGAGATGGTTCTGGAGGAGCTGACACACCTGAGGGGAGCAGGAAATGCTGAAGGATGAGGAGCAGGACAGGGAGGACACRGTGACCCCACAGTCACAGCCCTGCCCGGAGCTGTGCGCTCTCACCTGGTCCAGAAGCATCACCGAGGATTTGATGATCTCGCGCCACTTCTGCAGCTCTGAGTCGTGGTATTTCTGCTGGGACTCCAGCAGCTGGGCCCATTCTGTCTGAGACTGGGGTAACCTGCCAGGAAAGCACAAGCAAGAGTCACAAAATCATTTAATTTCTACAGAGCTTTCTCTTCACTGCGAGGAATAGCTCACACTGGGTCTCTTTTCCATGCCCTTCCCTTCAGGTCCATTTAAATCCCAAAAAAGAGGCAAGGGGAGTGGAAATGTCCCATCAGGACAAATGGGAGCATTCCAGGAGCTTGGATGGCTTCAGATTCCCCAGCAATTGTGGCTGCAGCACAAAAATCCCCTGTGTAGAGCCACCCAGCACTTGAACATCACACTGTGCAAACAGGACCTAAGTTCTGCACTTAAATACTGTTGTAGTAATTTAAATAAACACCAAGAGTGCCAGAGGAAGATAAAGTCACTTGAAGTATCCATAATCACCTGAAGTATCTATCCAMGGGGAAGTAGCAGGGCTGTTCTGGGGAAGAGAGTAAATCCCTTTCCTAATCAGGAGAAATGACACAAATAAAGGAAAAAATTCCAACACAAGGGTAGCACATGGCTGTGAATGCTTGAAGTGAGGCCCAGTGGAGCAAGGAGACAACTGGGACTACAAAAAAGGAGATGAAAACACCTGAGAAAAGTGGATTCAGGGTGTTCTCAGCCTCTAAAAATAAACCAAAGACCATTCAGGCAGGATGCATTGCTGATATCTGGACTCACACCTCCAAAACACAAACCTAACAGTGTGTGGCCCAAGTTCTCCTCGGAGTACAAAGCAGTCTTTCCAAGACTCTGCTTTCCATACAGAGGGAAGTTTGGCCATCAAAGGAGGGGAAGTGACCCARAATTTCTGAACATTTATTCACAGAGCATCCCCTGATCCACCCTGAGCAGCCTTAACTCTGCTCACAGCCCTTCAGCTCCACCTGCTCCWCACAAAAAYGAGAGCCYRGAGCTCTGGTGTGCCAGAAAACCATAAAAACCCAGGAAAATCCCAGCAGGTGTGGCTGTACCTTTCCTGCAGCCTCAGGCCCTGCCACGCCGTGAGCGTCTGTGTGGTGTACTCCAACATCCAGAGTTTGTAGAACAGCATCATGTTGAGAATGACCAGCAGCACCAGACTGCAAGGAAGAGAAGAAACCCGTCAGCTTAGGAGAATTTCACAGCTGATTTCTCACCAGGACAACACCCAAGCCTTGAGAAAGGTGTCTGAGGCCGTGTCTGATTCCCTGTCCATGCTGTGAGCGGGAATTGATTCAAAGTGAGCACCCAAAACTTCATCCCATGGGGGAAATGTGTGAGGTGGGAGAGACAGAGAGACAGAGACAGGAATGGCAGATCAGAGAGAACGAGTGGATGAGCAGGAGATGCAGAGAGAGGGGAATGGGAGAGCAAAGAGGGCAAAAAAGAGAGAGACAGTACCTGAAACAGATCCTAACGGGAGCAGGGAGAGAAAAGACGGA